GACTAAACAGAGCAAGGTGGGCTGAGCAGGGCTGAGACGAGCTGGGCTGGACTAAGGGGGGATGATCATGTTGGGCTGAACAAGGTCTCAGCTGCACTGAGCTGAGSTGGGATGGCTGAAGTTGGGTGGACTGAGCTAGACTGGTATGAGCTAAGTGGGGCCTAGCCTACCAGGCTGAGCGAGGCTGAACAGGGCTTCGCTGCAGTGGGCTACTCTGGGCTGACCTAGGCAAAGCTGGGCCAAGCTGAGMTAGACTGAACTGGGCTGGGGTGAGCTAGACAGAATGAGCTGAGGTGAGCTGAGCTGGGCCAAGAGGAGTTGATCCAGCCTGAGCTAACTAGGCTGAGATTTGCTTGGCAAAACTGGACTGAACAGTGCTAATCTCTACCTGGCTGGGCTAACCAGGGCTGACCAGGGCTGACCAGGGCTGAGCTGGGTGAAGCTGAGCTGGGTAAACCAAATAGAGCTTGGCTGAGCTGATCTACTCTGAATGGGTGGACCRGGCTGGGCTGAGCTAGGCTGAGCTTAGCTGGCCTGAGATGGACAGAACCTGGCTAAACTGAGCTGAGCTGGACTGAACTGGCTGACCTGAGCTAGAAGACTGGGTTAGACTGCACTGAGCTGAGCACAGCTGAGCTGAGATGGGCCGGGCTGGGCTGTGCAGGGCAGGGGATGGCCTAAGCTAGATGCACAGTCCTAGTCCAGGTTTTCTGGGACTCTGCCCAGAACTGATGAGTAGTCTGCAGGCTGAGTGCAGAGCAACCCCAGTCCCTGGGTCCAGCCAGACTGTCCCTCCCTTTCTTTGGAGCATGGGGGCCATGAAGTAAAAGGTCCATCCAGGGTGCTCTTCTCTCTTTCCTTGCTGCCCTGAAATCCGGCCGTGCACTTCCTGTGTCCTGGTCCTGTCCAGGCGGAAGCCCTGCTCTGCACTGGGCCTCTGGCCTTGAGACCCATGTAGGTCTTGGGAGTCTTCTGCTGCGTGTTGGGTGCTGAGATGGGGTTGGTGGAGTGGTGGGTGATGGGCCTGTGACACTGCAGGAGAAGTTGAGGTGGGCACAGCATGGTACCCCCATGCAGGCTTGCTTCAACAGCAAGGCAGCTCTGTGCCTTCCTGGGCCCAAGTCATGACCCCCACCCTGGGGAGAGCAGGAGTGAGGCTGGGGAGCCAGAGGCTGCTCAGCAGTGGAGCCTGTTTGGAAAGGACAGCTCACCATCTGTGCAGAGGCCCTGTCTCAGGCCAGACTGGGTCCTTGTGCAGGCATGGTGTAGGGGTCAGTTTCCAAAGCAGTGAAGGGTTGGCTGGCTCCAATCCCAGGCCCATGGCCTAGAAGCTGTGTGACCTAGGCAGTTGCCAGCCCTCTCTGGGCCACATTCCTCTGGAATAAAGCGAAGCAGGCATGGTCCTGTCCTGAGTGGCTCTCTGGAGGTGGGCAGTGAGGGCCATCCATCTCACAGCATGTCCTGTGTTCCAGTCTCCATGACCAAGCCCAGCGTCTTCCCACTGAGCGGCCCTCGAGACAAGTCAGCCAACCAAGTGATCATTGGCTGCCTGATTCAGGACTTCTTCCCCTCGGGGCCTGTGACCGTGACCTGGGGCAAGAATGGAGAAGGCGTGACCGTCATTAACTTCCCGCCTGCCCAGGCCACAGGGGGCCTGTACACCATGAGCAGCAAGCTGACCCTGCCAGCCTCCGAGTGCCCAGAGAACACATCTGTGAAGTGCAGCGTGCAGCACACCTCRAACCCCACCCAGGAAGTGGAGGTGCCCTGTGAAGGTCAGAGGGCACCTGGAGCGGGCCCACCATCCTGCCCTGACCCAGCGCCTGGACCYGTGCCCCACTGAGGCCCCCCTTGGGAGCCGAGGTTCCATGAAAGTGAACTGCCTGAGGAGACCCCTGGGGTGGCCACAGACGGGCCAGGAGGGGGCCATGGCTCAAGGATGGGGACAGGGAAGGGGGTAGGAGGGGCATGCTGACCTGCCAGTCCCTCTCTCGGTTCCAGAAACTGTGGTGGTGCTCCCTCCCGTCTGCGGCCAACCCCGCCTCTCCCTGCTCCGGCCGGCCCTTGAGGACCTGCTCCTGGGCTCTGAYGCCAGCCTCACGTGCACACTGAGTGGCCTGAAGAGTCCAGACGGGGCCAGCTTCACCTGGCAGCCCTCAGTTGGGAAGAACGCTGTCCAGACGACTGGGCGAGACTCCTGCGGCTGCTACAGCGTGTCCAGTGTCCTGCCCGGCTGTGCCGAGCCCTGGAACCGCGGGGACATCTTCACGTGCACAGCCAAACATCCTGAGTCCAGCCAGACGCTGACAGCCACCGTCAGCAAAGCCACAGGTGGGCTCCGCCGCACCCGTCTCCGCACAGTGCCACAGCCCGCACGCCGGCCTCCTCCAGCACCAGGCTCAACTCACAGGCCACACACACTCACACACTCACACAGACACACTCACAGACACTCACACTCACACACAGACACTCACACACTCACACAGACACACTCACACAGACACACTCACACACACTCACAGACACACTCACACAGACACACTCACACAGACACTCACACTCACACACTCACACAGACACTCACACTCACACACACTCACACACTCACACAGACACTCACACTCACACACACAGACACACTCACACAGACACTCACACACACTCACACTCACACACACTCACAGACACTCACACAGACACTCACACAGACACTCACACACTCACACAGACACTCACACTCACACACACTCACACAGACACACTCACAAGACACTCACACACTCACACAGACACACACTCACACTCACACACAGACACATACAGACACTCACACACTCACAAACACTCACACACACAGGCACTCACACACAGGCACTCACACACTCACACACACACACAGGCACTCACACACACTCACACACACACAGACACACACTGACACACACACAGACACACACACGGGCACTCACACACACAGACACACACACATAGGCACTCACACACACAGACACTCACACAGACACACTCACACACAGTCACACTCACATACAGACACACACACACAGTCACACACTCCCACTCCCACGGGCCCCACTTTACAGGGAGACTGAGGCCGGCTGGGGGTTCAGGCCAGGCCCAGGTGCCCAGCTAGGTAGGGGCTCCTTCTGCTCAGACCTCTGACCCAGCTCTCTTCCCTCCAGAGAACACCTTCCGGCCCCAGGTCCACCTGCTGCCGCCGCCGTCGGAGGAGCTGGCCCTGAACGAGCTGGTGTCGCTGACGTGCCTGGTGCGGGGCTTCAGCCCCGAGGACGTGCTGGTGCGCTGGCTGCACGGGRCCCAGGAGCTGCCCAGCAGCGAGTACCTGACGTGGAAGCCCCTGAAGGAGCCCGAGCAGGGCCCCACCACCTTCGCCGTGACCAGCGTGCTGCGTGTGACGGCTGCGTCCTGGAAGCAGGGGGACAACTTCTCCTGCATGGTGGGCCACGAGACCCTGCCCCTGGGCTTCACCCAAAAGACCATCGACCGCCTGTCGGGTAAACCCACCCACGTCAACGTGTCCGTGATCATGGCGGAGGCCGACGGCACCTGCTACTGAGCCGCCCGCCCCAGCCCTTGAATAAACTCTATGCCCATCCATAGCGGCCACGCGCTTCCGTCCATCCCAGGGTCTGCAGCACGCTGGGAGGGGGCCAGGGAGGGAAGAGCGCCCGCTGCCCTGAGCCTCTGAGGGCCTTGGCACCATGGGGACGTCCCCACCTGGAGGGCGCGCGTGAGTGTGTGCGCTGTGCCTGTGAAGAGGTGGACAGGGAGTCCTGAGTGGGTAGGGGCTGCTGCCTGTGGGGACAAGGCTGGCGCAGGAGCCATAGAGGGGTGGCACCGAAGGGGCGTGGAGTCCCAGGCCCGCCCTGCCCTCAGCGGGCCAGTCTAGGCAAGCCAGGTACGGCCGGGCAGGACAGGGAGGCACTGCCCGCACCCAGGCCACCCGTGGCCAGCCCCGCCCCATGCCTCACATGGCTCTGCGCCCATGCACATGCATGCACACACACACTCACTCTCTCACACACACACTCACACAGACACACACACTCTCATATACACACACTCACTCTCTCACACACAGACACAACTCTCACACACTCTCACACACTCCGACACACTCACACATACTCTGACATATACTCTCTCACCCACACTCTCACACACACTCACACTCTGTCACACACTCCCTCTCACACACATACACACAGACACAGACACACATACTCACAGACATAGACACACATTCTCATATACAGACACACTCTCTCACATACACACACAGATACACTCATACACACACATACATATACTCACACAAACACAGACACACTCTCACACACATAGATACTCTCACTCACATACTCACACACACACATACTCATATACACTCATATTCACACATACTCATAAACACATACATACTCATACACACATATACTCACACACACTCACACACACATACACACTCCTTACACACTCACACACATATTCACACACTCTCACACTCCAACACACTCACTCTCTCATACACACACATACACACACTCTCACACTCTCTCACACATACTCTCACACACACTCTCTCACACACATTCACACACTCTCACACATACTCACACACACACTCCAACTATACACTCTCTCATACTCTCACATACACATACACACACTCTCACACATACATACACATTCACACACACTCTGACACACACTCTCACATATACACTCACACACACACACATACACACATTCACTCTCTCTCACACACACACTCTCACACACACTCACACACACTCACACACTCACACACACACTCACACATACTCTCACACACACACACAGACACACACAGTCACACACACTCACACACACTCACAAACACTCACACACACTCACACACACATACACACTCCTTACACACTCACACACATACTCACACACTCTCACACTCCAACACACTCACTCTCTCATACACACACATACACACACTCTCACACTCTCTCACACATACTCTCACACACACTCTCTCACACACATTCACACACTCTCACACATACTCACACACACACTCCAACTATACACTCTCTCATACTCTCACATACACATACACACACTCTCACACATACATACACATTCACACACACTCTGACACACACTCTCACATATACACTCACACACACACACATACACACATTCACTCTCTCTCACACACACACTCTCACACACTCACACTCTGTCACAAACATTTACACACTCTCACACACACTCTGACTCACACTCTGACATATACTCTCTCACACTCTCACACACACTCTGACATATACTCTCTCACACTCTCACACACACTCTGACATATACTCTCTCAGGCTCTCTCACACAAAGATTCACACACACTCTGTCTCACACACACATAAACACACACACTCTTTCTCTCTCACACACACTCTCTCTCACACACACACACACACACTCATCTGAGCCCTGCAGATGCAGGAAATACACAGCCCAAGCTCACGCCAGGCAAACAAGGGGAAGCCCCTCCCAAGCCCCCAGTGTGTCCCCAGGCTGTTCCACACCCGGGCCTCTCCTGGCCTCCCTGCATGTCCAGCTAGGCACAGCTCAAAACACTGCTGCAGACACCCCAAGCAGCACCTGCCCGCTGCACAGTCCCCAGACTCAGTGTCCCTTCCCTTCCTGAGCCCACTCTGACTCAGGCAACAGACGGGGCAGGGGCCAAGGCTAGGAGGCTTGGGGCAGACCAGGGAGACTCTCCCACACAGGCCCCGTGGCCTCCGAATTCTGCTTGGGCTCCCAGGAGCATGTGCGGACAGTCCCACGTCTCTGTGGGGCAGCTGACACCAAGGTGCCCACAAGGGGGCAGCGGGGCCTCTGCTTTCTTCTCGGCTGCTCTCGGAGCCTCCCCAGGGAACCTGCTTCTAACAGCCTCCCCCTGCACTCAGGGCCAAGGTGGAGTGGACCRTCCATACCCTGGACTCTGCTGTCCCCCTGGAGGGGGGTTTAGTCACCAGAGGGCCACAGGGAGAACAACAGRGAGACTGGGGAGAGCCTGTCCCCAGGGAAGTGCTCCAGCCACTCCAAGGGGCCCAGGACATGACMCAAAAGAAGGCCTTCTAGAGAGAGGGGGAAAGAGAGAGAATGGTCCAGGAAGGGCTGGGCAGCAGGTGGAGAGCAGACAGATGGACTGTGGACGCAGGATAAATGGATGGGTGGGTGGGTGTTGGGTGGGKGGGGGGCTGAGTGGAAGAGAGCTTTACAGAGGGTGGGTGGGTGGAGGGGTGGATCATATAGCCCCACGGGTGGACGGCTGATGGGTGGATGAATGGCTGAGAGCCCCATGGGTGGGTGGGTGGGTGGATAAGTGGGTATGGGTGGATGGGGGGATAGACGGATGGATGGGTGGATGGATGGATGGATGGATGGGTGGGTGGGTGATAACTGGATGGTGGATCGGTGGAAGAATGGATGGACAGAAGGAGGCTAGCTGTATGGATGGACAGAGGAGTAGACAGAGGCAGGATGAACTGGATGTATCAGCAGGGGACAGGCAGGCCCAACCCCATTTGACGTGGGCGATTTATGCCCTGGGACCTGAAGACAGCAGGACTGCCATGCTGGTGGCCTTCAGGGCCCTCGCTGGTGTGCCTCTGCCAGGTTTCCTGGGAAGGCCACAGAGGCCGTGTCACACTCTCCCGCCCTCCGCACTCTGACCTCAGACCCAGAGCTCTGTCTGTCTGGGAGGCCACTGAGGGCCTGCATGGGGCTGAGGCCCAGGTGGCCTGGGCTGGAGTCTCCTCGGGCCACAAGACAAGGCTCACCCTCCTGCCTGCCAGGTCTCTTGCCTGGTGTCCTGAGAGACAGGGGCCTGTGGGCCTCCCAGAGCTGCCAAGGTCCCCACCCTTACCTGGGCCCTGTTGCTCCAACACATCTCAGACACCAAGCAGGGAACCTGTGCTACCAGGGCCAGACCCCGAGGGCGTAGGAAGGGAGGCCTGAGACCCAGGCCCTCACCACGTGGGCTTCGGCCTGCAGGTCCTCTGTGTCTTCCAGACTGTCGGGAGCCACTGCCCTACGTGGTGCTGGACCAGCTACAGGAGATCCTGGAGGAGGACGTCCCAGGGGCCAGCCTGTGGCCCACCACCGTCACCCTCCTCACCCTCTTCCTGCTGAGCCTGTTCTACAGCACAGCGCTGACCGTCACGACCGTGCGGGGCCCGCCTGGCAGCAAAGAGGGCCCACAGTACTGAGGAGGAGACAGCCGGCCCAGGTGGGGTGCAGGAGGGAGTCCGTGGGCCAGCGCGGGAGGGGGCGCTCGGTTCTGTGGACCGGAAGAGAACACCTGTTCCCACCATGTGGGCCCTGCTCTCCCAGGAAGTGGGTCCCTTCACACCCACTGAGGACGTGGGGGTCATGTGGCGCAGTAACTTCAAGATTCAGCCCAGTCTCGGGGCCAGGCCTGGGTCAGGGGCACAGACAAGGACCTGCCCACCTCAGGACCCCCTCTGGCCCCTCTTGTCTCCACAGGGAGGAAACCTGGAGGCACCCTCGACGTGTCAGAGCCGAGCCTTGAGGGAGGCCACCGTGTCACCCCCACTCCCACGCTTTCCCGTGCAATAAACTGATGCCCAACGCAGACATTCTCAGACTCTCAGACAAGTGGGGGGCAGGGACTGGGATGGCACAGACTGGGGCATGCCTATCTCTAGGGGGGGAGTCAGGGCAGGGTGGACAGAGTGACCCTTGTCTTGTGTCTGACCTGGTCCCACCTGAGACTGAGGCCAAAGGTTGAATTCTAGCTTCACCCACGGACAATGTCCAGGAAGACTCCTCCTCAGAGCTGAGGCCAGGTCCCTAGCCATGATCCCTAGGCCCTGATCACTGACYCTGCTTGCTCCTGGACCCTTGGCCAGGACTATAGGCACCCAGAGTGGGTCCTGAACGCTGACCCCTGGTCCTGAGAGCACTGAGGCCTCGTCCTGGTAACTGGGCACTGGGAGGCTCACTGAGCTCTGAATGATTAGCCTTGGTCCCGAGCACTGGACCCTGACCTTATCACAAGGCCATGGCCCTGACCAGTGAATCCTGTTCCAAATCACTAGACCCTGATCCTGATTCCAAGCCTGGGTCTYGATCACTGGGACACAGTCCAGAACCCGTGAGCTCTGATTGTGATCACTGGGCCCTGGCCCTGGTCACTGGAGCATGGTACTGATGCACTAGGCCTTCGTACCAATCACTGAGATATCGCTTGGTGACAGGGCAGACATTCAGGTCACTGAGCCCTGGTCCTGCTCACTGGGCCCTGGCCCTGGTCCTGGATACTAAGCCCTGGTCCTGGTCACTGAGTCCTGGTCCTTATCACTAAGCCCTGGTCCTGGTCACTGGGCCCTGGTCTTGATTACAGTACCCTAGCTCTTACACCTGGGTATTGGTATAAACACTGGGCCCAGGTTCTGGTCACTGAGTCCTGGTCCTCATCACTAAGTCCTGGTCCTGGTCACTGGGCCCTGGTCTTGATTACAGTACCCTAGCTCTTACACCTGGGTATTGGTATAAACA